CACATATATATATATACTGATATTTGTGCTGTTGTTTCCCACTAAAATTGTCACATTCTGGAAAATGATGTCATTAGGGATTTCTCTTTGGTTGAAGGGGTATTACCAACCAAATACATACATAAATAATAATAATAATAATAATAATGGCATATCCTGCCAAAAAAAATGAAAATTCTGTCATCATTTACTCACCCTCATGTCGTTCCAAACCTGTATGACTGACTTTCTTCTCTGAAACATAAAAGAAGATATGTTTGTAACCAAACAGTTTTGGTTCCCATTGACTCTCATTGTATGGACAAAAATACAATGTAAGTCAACGGAACCTTTGTGGGAACATTATTCAAAATACCTTATTCTATGTCCCATCAAAAAAAAAAAAAGTCATACAGATATGAAACGACATGATGGTGAGTAAATAATGACAATTATAATTTTTGGGTGAAGTATCCCTTTAACAGAATAGAAAGATATTGAGGTTAGAGGAAAAACCTACAAATTGATGCAATTAAAACAATATTTCCAAGACACCATATTAAAGATAGAGGGGGAAATGAAGAAAAAAAAATGGAACCTGGAATATGTGAGAAGTTAAGAAATGGAAAAATGGCAATATGATCCTAAACTATATTAGTAAAATAATTTAAAATTCACCGCGGGAGAGACAGCAAGTGAAATGTGAACCATCATTTATGATAGAAAAAGAGAACAGAGAGGGAAGGAGATTGAAAATGAGACAGAGGTCCGGACCTAAATAATTGAGTGGGGACAGAGCAATAGTAGTGTCATTTACAAGCACAGTGCTGCTACAGAGAGGACTGCGGTGCAAGTTAGGCTGTCAGTGTCCCCCCGCAGGGTGAATGGCAGTGCCCCAGAGGATTCTAACACAGACAAATGAGGACAATCCGTTTTACACTCACTAGCACTCAGGGCAATCGCAGTGGGGAAGTGAAAGACAATCTAAACTTTTTCACTGAAATGTTCTTAGCTCCGACTACCTGAGCACCCCTTCATCAGCGGCTAGGTAATAGAAGCTGCACAGCGATGCATCTGGAAGCGCACATCGCAGTTTCCCAAAGGCTGTCCATTACTAAGATCAGACAGGACCACTGCTGCTGGCTGGAGAGAGGGGGTATTTATGCTGACATGCTATTTGATTTAGCCATGAACAGATACCAGCTCACATGTGAGAGGTTGGGAACTGCTTTGAAGGGCTTGAGTCATCTGACATCAGCATTTTGCACAGTTGGAAAAGAATCCAGGGAAATGATAGATGATGATGTTTTCCCCCTCGCTTTCTTTTCCAAAGGAGATGAATATAATTATTTATGTAATGGAATTGAATCTGATTCATCAATCGCACCATTCTGCAGTCAGATATCTGCATACAATGACTGATAAACTGCATAATTGATCATTATCCCTGGCCACCAATCTTCTGTGCTAGTTTCATGTCTCTCATAACACATTGTGGTTGCATTCTTTCTCACAAAATGCAATAATTTCAACTAATATCAATATTTCATGTCCATTTATTTATTTATTTGCTAAGTAGCCGTGTAATAAGTAATGTGCAGCCGGCCAGTCATTATCGCAAAATAGACTTCCACATTGGGGGCCTGATTATTCTGTCAAGATTTATTTTGCTATAATGACTGACTGACTGACTGTATAGAATGTACATAATGTAGAATTTATAGATGGTATGGGTTGGTATTCTTGCAAAATAATAGTGTTTTCCTCTTGCAGGCGGGGTGCTACTGTGCACTTTTCTTGTGATGAAGGATACGAGCTTCAGGGGTCTAAAAGCATCACCTGCTTACGAGTTACGGACAGTTATGTTGGCTGGAGTGATGATCGGCCTATCTGCAGAGGTATGTCACCCCCCATCCCCCTCCAGATTTGACCTTTGTTCAAAAGTTAAAAAGTTATAAAGTTATAAAGTCTCATGTCATATTTTCAACAATCAAATTGATCACAGTAGATTTAAACCCTTTTGTTTAACAAATGGTTGAATTATTTGAAATCTCAGTGTATCTCTGCAGAGTTAAAGGGCCTTGATTAATGAATGACCTGACAATGAAAGAAGACAATGAGGGAAAAAAGCAAGAGATGAGAGAGAGGAAGTGGAGAGGATGACAACAGATCTTTAAAGCAGATTTCCTAAGGAGGAAGAGATGGTATCGCTCAGCCAGTAATCAGCTTCTTTAGCCTTACCAGGCTCCGATTAATTATTTTATTGAGCCTTGCTTAATTTCTGACTTTGATTGGCTAGGACTTCATTCCTGCAGCAACTGTCACATCCCCAGAGAGATGCTGTCCACCATACTGCCACCTTTGCCTTATGCCGTAAATTGAACTGCGAGTCTGGCATTTAGTTGTGGTACCAACACCAAGCATCTTAACTACATGCAGCAAAGCCTGTCAGTGGTATGGTACCTGAAGAGAATAAGAATATGATAAATATATATATATAAGTTATATTTTAGTATATACATTTTGTAAATTTTTATATAATGTAATAATTTATTATTGTTCAAAAACTGTTCAAAAGTTTGGTGTCAGTAAGATTTTTCGTTTGTTTTGGGAAGAAATAAATGCTTTTAATTGATCAAGGATGCATTAAAATTGCAAAATGCTGTTCTTTTGAACTTTCTATTCATCAAAGAATCCTGAAAACATGTATCATGGTTTCCACAAAAATGTTAAGAAGCTCAACTTTTCATCAATAACAACAAGAAATATTTCTTAAGAAGAAAAACAGCATATTAGAAAGATTTCTGAAGGATCATGTGACACTGAAGACTGGAGTAATGATGCTCAAAATTCAACTTTACCATCACAGGAATAAATTACATATTAAATTGTATTACAATAGAAAATATTTATTTTAGATTGTAATAATATTTCACAATATTACTGTTTTTACTTTATTTTTGATCAAATGAATGAATTATTGGTGAGCATAAGAGACTTCTTTCAAAAATAAATAAATTATAAAAACGTAATATTTTAAGATAATATAAAAAATATATAAATATAATATAATAATGCATCTGAGTGTGTGGTTGTATCCTGCATCCCAGTCTCATGCCTGAATTCTGGCCCTCTGTTTAGGAGCTTACTGTATATATATCTTACTGACTCCAAACAGTGGTGTGGGCATCTGTATAATGATTATTATAAATGTTATTTTTTATTTTTTTTTAAATGGCTTAAATGAACAAAAACAGACTTAACAATATTCACAGTATCTGTGTTTTGTTAGTGTGTGCTTACGTCTTACCCAAACAGAGATAAGAAGTACTTGTGTTATGATAGAGCGTTTTTTAGTTGAGATGTCATATTTGAGTAATAACACTCCATTTTAATATACTATTCGGAACATTCAGGCTTACTGTAGCTCTACATCAACACGCTGACACGCATAAAGGGTTGGGTTTACCTGCTCCCTTCTCCTTCATATCGATTAATTTCTCCTGAGTTGCTCGGCCAGCTGTGGACTATTAGTCTTTCATTAGGGTTACATATCTCCTCTCCAACACCACCAGTGGCCTTTGCCACCGTGGACCCCCTCAGGCTTGACAATCTTCGGGAGGAAGATAGTTAGACAGCTTTGTGATGGATTGCACCAGTTGCCTTTGTTTTTGATTATTTAACGATCAGTTTTTGGCACATCACTGTGGGGTTGTGGAAAGAGGGAAAATGGAACTGGAATTGGGAAACTGTCGGAATCACCAGATAGACCAAGTTCCCTTATCAGCCCCATTACTCATGTGAAAAGGGTTGATATTTAGCTATTGCTCCCCAGAACCCGTTTCTTCATCACTTGCTCCTTTTCACCACTAATGTAGAGAATGATTATTTGTCTTGTTTCATTGATTTAACACTCTAAATGCCAGGCCATTATTCAAAACCGGTCCATTTTAATTGCATGCTCCAGGAAAATCTGAATCATAAGAATAATTAGTAATGGTGCCACAGAAAAAACCCTCATAAATCATTGTCGCTAAATAAATAAATACAAGCATAAAAAGTCCAATAATAATAATGTGTCCTTGAGGTTTTCTCTCTCTATGTGTAGAAATGTTGTTTCCGTGATTTGCAGGATTGTAAAGGATCTAGGACTTGCACAAGAAATCTATAAATACATTTGTGTCTTTTTTTATTGGCTATTTAGAAATCAAATCAAGCTTCAAACCTTAATAGAACCTGAAATACACAATATATCATGAGCAGTGAGTTTTGTTTGTAGAAAATTGAAGTCTTAACGGCCATTTAATGCTGATCGTTGGTCCAGTGGCTTAAAGTAACTCTTTGGAATGAATCCCTGTCTTTTTTTTTTCTTTTTTCTTTTTTTAAGTAAACTTCCCAGTATTTCATCAACTCTACCATAGATTTTGCATCTGAAACCTGAAATGTGCATTGAGAAATCCAGGGTCTTGGAACTGTTAGCCTGAATCTAATTTGATAAAAATTCAGCCTGAATAAGGTGAACTTTAAATGAGTATCTTATTGCAGCACTGCCCTTACAACTTAAATAAACCTGGACTGTTTCACAGCTGAGCCCCTGCTAATAGATACCTTCTTCTAATAGCATGATTATTATGTTGGAGAGTATGTTGGTTCATTTTAGAGTTTGTGTTATAGTCCCTGCAGTGCCTTCAACATTCTCCTAACATCCTTGAGACCAAGTTCCTTCCGACCAAGTCTCAGAATGTTCGTTGTAGGTTTTATTTTTATAACCATAAGCTAAAATTTCTAGAACATTGCAGGGAGGTTATTTTACATGACAGCCTAAGAACTTATACAGAATGTTAACTAATGTTTTTTTTATTTTTATATAACCATTAACTAACATTTTCAGAACTCCAGATTGTGTGTGTGTCAATCTAATAACGCTTGAAATGTGATCTAATGGTTATTTTTGTTTTATTTTATAAGCAATAAACTTAAATTTCCAGAATGTTGCAGTTAAGTGTAGGTGACGACCACATAGAAACGTAATAGAAATGTACAGAATTTCATTCATTCATTCATTCATTCATTTGCCATAAACTAACATTTCCATAACTTTGCAGGTAGGCTTCTGTGTGACAACTAAATATGAACTTTTTTTTTTTTATGACAATCTAATAATGTCTTAGAATGTGATTTAATGGTTTTGTTTTATTTTTAAATATTTAAATTTCCAGAATGTTGCAGTAAAGTATGTGTCACCACCAAATAAGAACTTCTACACAATGTTATCTAATGGTTATTTTTATTGATCACACTTTATTTTAAGGTCCAATTCTCACTATTAACTAACAATTAACTATGAGTTTTGCCTCAATCAACTCCTAATTACTGCATATTAATAGTTAGTAAGGTAGTTGGTAAGTTTAGGTATTGGGTAGGATTAACCCTTAATTGCATGAATGTTTCGCCAATCATTATTACATATTCGGGTCTTTAGCGACCCGGACCTATATATACAGCACAGATGGATCTCTAACTGCTGCAATAGCAAAAAACTCTCAATCTCAAAAGAACAATTACAGAAGAATAAAATAAAGCATATTTGTTACCTTTTGAAACTTAAAAGGGTTCAATTTGAGCAGATGATTTTATCATCGTCAGAGCGCACTTCCACAGTACATTCAGCATCTGCCTCATATTCCCGATCTCAACCATATTGTCAAAACTATCGTTTTCAATGACTTCATATCCAATATTTTGATCACTGGCAGCTTATTTGATGTCTAACTTAAAAAAATGAAGGCGAGAGAGGGTAGAGAATGATGTCCAGGGTCGCTAAAGACATAAAGGTATGCATTTAAGGGTTAAGGGATGTAGAATATGGTCATGCATGTAATGCTAATAAGTAATTAGTTAATAGTGAGTACTGGTCCCTAAACTTCTTTATTTACCTTTATATTACCTTTAAATTTTTTACAAGCATTTCAGAACAGTGCTAGGAGGTTTCTGTGTGATACCTAAATATGAATTTCTGCAGCATCTTATATAATGGTTAATTTTGTTGTATTTCTTTTTTATGCATTTTATAACCATAAATATTCCTTCTTTCTTTCTTTCTGTCATATTATAATCATACGTGCCCAGAATGTTAGTTAGGATGCTCCCAGGAGTTCTCTCATTAAGAATTTTTTATACCCCAATAAGTATTATGATTGACAAAAATGCTACGGTATCAATGAATGTGTGTTATTAGCAAACCCCAAACCTTTAAAGCAGAAAGCTGCAGACAACACATATTATGTCGTGAAGGTGAAAATTGGGGTCAGCCAGCCCTGATGTTAATTAACTTTCCAAAGACTTTTGTTCTTTAATGTCAACCCACCTTAAAGCGTTTGAGGAAACTTTGCGAGTGTGTGTATGTGGCAGGGGAGGCCCTGAGGAGCTCACCTCAGACATTAGCTCATTAAAAGCTCCAGCTGGTCCCAGACCTGCAGAAACATTCATTTAGTGCGAACACGCTGGCTGTGCCCTCCCTTCTCATTAGACATCAAGTGCTTTCATTCAAGAAAGTATTTAAAGTCCTCCTGGAGGCCGCGAGAGAGTCGCTTTAAAAAGTCACAGAAAAGTCAAGCACCCAACAAGTCATTGGTAAGGTCATTGAACATTCAGGTCACACGCCGGTCCAATCAAAACCAACAACCTGTGATAGGTAACAATAATCAAGTGCGAAATATTGACTGCAGCCAAAGGCTAAGGCTTTTTTTTAAATTATTATTTAAGATTTTTTTATATTTCGTCTGCAGGCCCACAAGCCAATCTCAACCTTTGAAAGTGGTATGGATAGAGTATAGTATGAGTGATATCTAGAAAAACAGTTCTTGTGAGTCTGTCTGTTGGACTTAAGTGTTTGCAGTCCTCTTGCTTTTCTTTTTAGGTTTACTCTTCAGACTGATGTGGTATTGAAATGCACTTCACTGTTTCTTGAGATATTTGATAAAGCATTTCAGATATTTTATTAAATAAATAAATAAATTCCTTTGATATAAGTTAGTGGTGTTATTTACACAAAAACCTACAAAACCATTGTTTATGATGTGTCGGCTTTGTCACAGAAAATATTAAATAAATTGTTTGGGATTTATAGATAGTTTCCCTTGTTTTAAGTTTGTCACAGAAAATATTAAATAAATTGTTTGGGATTTATAGATAGTTTCCCTTGTTTTAAGTTTGTTCTATTCTGCTACTGCAGACAATGGATGTGTGATTAAATAGAAAATAAGTATTTAATATTTTGTCGACATGTATCGGACAATAAAGACAATATTTTTTATATTTAATAGATTTCAATAGATGGAGCTGAAAATCAGTGTGAAACAGCCTTGTAGTCTTGTTGTTAATTTTTTAATGGGGTCATATGATGCGATTTCAAGTTTTCCTTTCTCTTTGGAGTGTTACAAGCTGATTGTGCATAGATAAGATCCCTGAAGTTGCAAAGACTAAAGTCTCAAAACCAAAGAGATATTCTTTATCAAAGTTAAGACTCTGCCACGCCCCCCTAAAACGGCTACGAAGCGTTTGAGAGAGGCAGGGCATAGAGGACCTACAATAATGTACAGTATTTGAAAAATAATGTGTTTTTTGAACATTAAAGCATGTCAACATATTCTGTTACACCAAATACACAAAATAATGATCTTTAAAAAAGCATCATATGACCCCTTTAATTCATTCAGTTAAATTATAGATTTGCAGTTATTATAAGTATTTTACATGTTAAATTTTGTTTTTTTGTATCTGGCAGCAAGAGAACACAACTGAACACATTTAGCAAAAGAAAAAAAATCTCTCTTGATAAACTATTTATATGTGATAACATTTCTCTTCCACCCCCCCCCCCC